TTATGTGTGTGTCTGTATGTGTGTGTTAGCTTCCGCAGTAATAATCTGGAATCCACAATCCAGGAGCGGTGAGCTAGCATCTGATGGCCTGTTTTCAGGAATTGATACTCCAGAGGTCCCTGTAGTAAGCATTTTAAATATCACGACCTAAATCTAACCAGGAGGCTCAAGAATGAACATATAGGCCATTTAGAAATGGGTGTTTGTTTTTGGTAAAAACAAGCGGAGTTAAAGACATGCGGTTGACTTCAAAAATATTACAGGCATGCATGAGATGGTATAAGCACCCAGCAAGCCAGGGACCTGTCACTGTCGGTCCCGGGTTCTAGGCCCAGCACTCCGTTCGGCCAGGCGTCCCCTCCGCTGCTGCAGGCTTGGGTCCTTCTGTCGCCGAGTTGGCCTGGGTGAGGCTTTCGTGCAGATGCTCCTCTGAGTGCCTGGTGATGAGAGGGGGCCCCCGCCCAGCACACGGGAGCCGTCTCTGGGGCCACGTGGGCACCTTTGTTAACAGTTGTATGTATGTTGCAGATCCCCTGAGACTTACTGGGAATTAATTAAGCAAACCACACGGAAGATTTAGGGATGGTGTGATGTATGCCTCAACCTGCTTCTAATAGATGGAAGTCACTAATATTCTAACAAGAATGGGGTCAGGCACGATGGCTCACACCTGCAATCACAGCACTTTGGGAGGCAGGTGGATCACCTGAGGTCAGGAGTTTAAGACCAGACCAGCCTGGCCAACACGGTGAAACCCCATTTCTACAAAAAATACAAAAATCAGCCAGGCACGATGGTGGGTGCCTGTAATCCCAGCTACTCAGGAGGCTGAGGCACAAGAATCGCTTGAACCCGGGAAGCGGAGGCTGCAGTGGACCAAGATCACACCACTGCACTCCAGCCTGGGCGACAGAGAGAGACTCTGTCTCAGAAAGGGGTGGGGGGAATAAAAGAATGGGGCCAGACAGAGTGGCTTTCCAGCCCTTCAGGAGGCTGAGGAAGGGTGATCACTTGAGGCCATGAGTTTGAGACCAGCCTGGGCGGCATAGTGAGACCCCATCTCTACAAAAAATTTTTAAAACTTATCCAGGTGTGGTGGTTTGTGCCTGTAGTCCCAGCTACTTGGGAGGCTGAAGCAGGAGGATCGCTTGAGCCCAGGAGTTTGAGATGGCGGTGAGCTATGATGGAGCCACTGCACTCCAGTCTGAGCAACACAGCAGGAGCATCTCCCAAAAAATAGTAGAGAGAATAAGGCAGATGCTGAATGAAGAAACTGTAGCAGGCACCTAGGAAAGAAGGAAGGCTGCCTGCAGAGTCTTGTTCCAATTACTAAACCAAGTGTCTGTTATCCCGGCACCCGTGTCTGCTGAGCACTTACCAGGCTGTGACCTGCTTCTACACACGGCATCTTCCTTCATCCTCACAACAGGCCCAGGGGAAACAGGCAAGTCACACAGGGCTTCACTTCTCTCACGCAGACAAGGAGCGGGGCCCAGAGGGGCACTGAGACTCCCTCGAAGTCATCTGCAAGCTGCAGGTAGTTTCAGAGCAGCACCCAGGTTTCATGACTCTTCAGCTAAGAGTCTCAGCAAGGGCTGAGATGCGTGAGAATCCCCAGAAACATGTTTCCAGTGTATAGATACCCCTATGTGTGTAACATCCCATTCCCTTTGGTAGCTGTGGCTATGGAAACCCTCTGAATCTTCACCTGATTTTGTGCCCAGCACTGTGTAACCACAGAAGGCCATCAAAAGTGTCCCTACCCTCCTGGTACGAGTATTGAAGGACACACGCACATGACCTGCATTAGAACGTGATGATTCTATCTGGGGCCATCAGCGAAGGTTCTAATCATTATTCAGATTGGACAGTTGAAAGCAGGGCCACTCTCAGTGTGTGGGAAATGCCTCGTAATGTTTTATTCTTCTTGTTATAGCTATTTCACTTCTAGGAATTTATCCCTAGGGACTTGTCAGAGAGCTTTAAAAAAAAAAAGATTTATATTCAGTATGTGTTTGTTTATGTTCAATAGTGTAACTGTTAATTGTGAAAAACTGGAAATGATCTGACAGTCCCAGAGCAGGGAATAGTCGTGGTGCGGAAATGAGGTCGGGTGCTCTCCGTGGTGGAATGTTCTGCAGGCACTAAAGGTTCTGCTGTCAGAGCGCACATGCCGCGTGCTAGGATTATGAAAGGGGAAAAGGCTTCCAAAAGGACCACATCCAGGAAAACCCAGAATGTGTAACAGCGCACACTCGTGTGTGTGTGTCTGTAAAATAATAACAGTGCTGCTCTCTGGAGTGAGATTAGGTAACTTCTTCATTTTCAATTTCCACATTTTCAAAGTCCAGTTTTAAAAAGCAGAGGCCTTTCTCTCACTGGGTCTTCAGGGACTTTGGGGGTTTGTAGATCTGGCATAAAGCCCTTTATTTCGAGTTTTTCTTCTGAGCACACAAAAGGTGTGTCATTTATACATCTGCACCAGAACCTGCTGCAGAGGGGAGAGCACAGAGTCTGGGCTAAGCAGAGGCAGTGGAATTATTTGAACCTGAAAAACAAAACAAAGGACATGCTGCTCACGCTGCATGCAGGCAGGCCCCTGGGTAGCTTCTTCAGGCAGCAGTGAGGCGGCCGCCCAGGGGACAGCGCGCCCCTCCTCCACCACCCTCAGCTGGCTGGATGCTCACGTTGCGTTGCGCTGTTCCCCACCTCTTGGCAAATGCACTTGTTAAACAACCAGCTGCAGGGAGGAAGCTGGAAGAGTCGGGGTGCGGGGGAGTGAGGGGGACTGAACTTCCACAGGAGAAATAAGCAACCTGCAAGTGGCACCGGCCGTCTCCTCCCTCCCTGCCTTGCTGCCCTCTCAACCTCCGCTTAAGGAGGCTCTTCTGGAGGTGAGGCCCGGCCAAGGGCCCACGTTCTAGGAAGAGGGGCCCCCAGTGAGAGCTCACCCTGCCCAGTGGGGGAGCATGTTCTCGTGTCTGTAGCAGGGTTCCTGTGTGCCAGCCAGGCTTGCCACCTCACGGAGTTCTGGGAGCCATGAATCCGTGATAGTCACTGCAGCCAGCAGTGTGACCATGCAAGGGGTGCTCAGTAAGGGTTTGTTCAGTGATCGTTTGATAAATGTTGAGAAGGGATCCAAGTACTTGAAGACGACTCATCTCTTAGAAATGTGCTTTAGGAGGCTTGAAAGCCCAGGCGGGTCAGTGGTTGTAGAGGTCGAGGTTATGTGCGTAATAAGCCCAGGGCCTGGGTCTGGCCCTGTGCAGACCTGGTGCTCTTCTCCACTGAGAATTACGGACTCAGTCCCAGCAGATGTTTGGCAGATGCAGACCTGTGGACCCTCTGTCAAGGGAGCCTGACGTCTGCACTGATTCCTGACTGGGTTCATGTTGTTGCTGCCTCTTCTCCCAAAGCTGGTCAGTTGATTGGTTGATTCATTCATTCATTCAGCTAATACTGATTGAGCACCCACAACGTTCCGGGTTCTGTTCTAGCTGCTGGGGTTATAGGACAGGAGACACCCGTGGGTGTTAGGAGCACTCCAGCCTTTGACAGGTCAGTGCATGTAAACTCCAAGCGCTCTGTAGCTTTATAAGGGTTTTCTAGAAACAACGCCTTTAGCTAGAAAAACAAGTGGGCATGTCAGACACCACCCTGAATGGATGAGGAGGCATTTTCTGCGTCCGGGTGCAGGGGTAGCCTGACCTGCTATGATGGGCACTGACATCACCTTGCTTTGCTTTTCATGACCTTCCAGCACCAGGAGTGTCTGGCCAAGGGCACCGTGGTGCCAAGGGAGGCAGAATGGCCACTGACTACTGGTCCATGTCCTCCCTGAGACACAAAGACAGGACCAAAAAGGATGGAAAGAATAAAAGTACTAAGAACAATTTCGATGGCTTAACGGTTTGAGAGACAGATATGCCTCAGATTGTACATGTGCGCGGTTTTTCCCCTAATGAGAAGTGACTTCTGATGACCACACAACACACATCCTTCCCACCAGCCTCTTCAGAGAGGAGAGGCTTTGACATGAACTGGTGACAGGGTGTGTGACAGGCCATGACAGGCCAGCAGAGACCTGAGAGAGTTTTGGATTGGGAGGAGTGAGGGCGTTAGAAACAGTTCTGTAATAGATGCTGCCTCTCTGTTCTCTCTTCAAGAAAAGGATCGGTTTGGCAGCAGCCCCACTTGTTCTTCCAGTTGAAGGCAGTATGTTTAGAAAACCCTTATGGCCTCTGCTGGGTTGACCCAAAGGAAGCCCAAGTAGGTCTTGTCTAGGATTTGGGGAGAAGAAAAGCAGAGAGGCTGGGAGCTGTGCATGTCCAGGCGAGCACGGCAGAGCAGGAGACGGGGACCCAGAGGGGTCTTGCTGGGAGTGAAGAGTGAGTGTTTGCTTGGAGTGGCTACCCTGCCCTGCCTCTCGGGGCTGTGAAGCAGCCAGTTGATTGGACGGATGTGGCACCAGCACCTAGGAAGGTCCCTCATTGCTGCTCAGGGGGAGGTGTCTGCCGTGGAAGGGGTCTGTCCTCAAGGAAAGGGGCTTCCCCAGAAGACCTTTTCCTGGTTCTGTCTGTTTTTGCTTTCTTGTCTGGACGTGCCCAGTTACAACTGAAACAAGCACTCCTGTATCCAGGCCCAGGCAGTCTGCAGTGGCTGCAAAGTCCCTTATTTTGTGTGAGCCCCAGAAACACTGGACTGAGGGAGGGCAGCAGCAGAGAGCACATTATCAGCACAAGCTTCTACATACTTTTCCCAGTGTCCGGCTCTCAGGGTGCGAGTCCAGGGACCCGGGGACTTAGCCGACACCTCCACTCCCTCGTGGCTGAGCTTCAGAACTTGTTGGGGGCCCAATGGGAGGTGCTGAGAGGCCTGGGGGGCTACACTGGGCCAAGGTGTTGCTGTAGTGAGAAGCACCTGCCCCCCAGGTCTTGAATCACTTTCTCCCTAGGTACAGAAGGAGAAACTGGATGGAGAGGAATTCACGACTCTGGGTGGAATCAAAGTGAACATTTAATGTCACCATCGTTTGGTTCTTTTAAACATCAGATTCTTTTTTGACAACATTTTACACCTCATATGCCACAAAAAGAGATCGTAGCCAGCAAACAATGTCTTTACACCGGAAACGCCACACAGCTTAATGGATTCATGTCACCAGTTTGTGAGAACCATAACTCTTTTTTCTGGACTGTTGTGCAGGGAGCCTGCTCGTACATTTATCATGATCAAGCCAACACCTAACTTTTATATATCTATGCAAAGGCCCATGCACAAAACCAGCCTGCAAGGGGCTGTTGGGACCCGCCCAAGTATAGAGGAGTTGAATTTCTGACTTTAACAAATGAGTTTATTGAAGAATTTGAACAGCAAACACTTGTGAACTAATAATTTTTTAAATGGCACCAATCACCTATGTGGTTAAACAGTGGATCTCAGACAATCACATTCAGCACTACCATTGAATTGTCAAACAAGATTCCATGAACTTATTTAGGAATTTGCTGTTTCTGGCACAATAAATGCACTTGGGCAGGCCCTGTCTCCAATTTTCAAACAGGCCCATTTCTACAGATAAGCGTATTTATATATACATACATACATCACCAGTCACGGGGTCAGAGACCTAGAGCACAAAGGTCATCTACCGGTTCCGGAGAAGCCAGGTACCAGATCCCGGCCAGGACCTGTGTCACAGCGGAGCCAGAGCTCAGGTGTTCGGTCCTGTGTCTTTCTCCCTGTCATGTGCCTCCTGTACACACACACCCATGTGTGTGCACACACGTTAGACGAATGATATGTGTTCATGTCGGCACAGACCTGGTGCAGCACGATCTAATGGGAAGAATCCAGGCAGCTGGACTCGGGTCCCGGTTTTGCTATAAAACTACTCTGAACTTGGGCCGGTCAGTGACTACTGACTTCAGTTTCTTCCTCTGTAAATGATTATCCCCAGCTCCGAGACAGAGCTTTAGCTTCTTCAAAGCACTTCCCATCACTTAACACCATTTTCTTTATGCTGCCCCAGAAAGGCAGCTGTTCCGACCCCCCGTCTTCCACTTGGGAACCTGAGGCCCAGCAAAGTGAAGAGACTCGCCCCAGGTTGCAGAGCTAGTGACAGAACCAGGCCTGCTGACCCAGTTTCCTTGTTCCTAGCTCAAGGCTTTTGCTCCTAAGTTCAGCCACCTCTCAAATAAGACTTCTGACCGTTGACACTCGGGAATCCAGGAGGGGACAGGATGCCTTAAGGTTGTAAGACTCACTAAAGTGCTTTGGTTTTTCCAGAAAAAAAAAACCAGAGCAGGTACCATATATATCCCAGCTCAGGAACTCTGGCGGCTTTCCCAAACCCCCTTCAGTAGCACCAGGGGCGGGATGGGAGTTGTGGGTAAATGTAGGGAACTAATACTGTCAGCACTTTCCTCAGCAGTTTAATGTTGAACCAGGAGGAAGAGGTTGGATCCTCTTCCACGCAAGCCTGTGGGAGTGGATTTCCAAGCCCATTCTCATCAAATTCAGAACGAAGGGATCTTTCCTATCCAGCTACTTACTACAGAAACAGCTTAGATTTTGAACTCAGCCCTGTACATTGAAGATTGGACCCTGATCCCTGTTCTCTTGATTTATCTGTCCTTCCCTATCCCCCAGCCCATGTCTCCATGAACAGACTTTGCTAGAGTGAGAAAAACGTAGAAAAAGATAGCCACAGACAGATCCAGGAAACCTCCGCTTCAACGCATAGCGCTTGGGTAGCGTTTCCAACCGCGACGTAGACGCAAAGAACACAAGCAATGCTGTAAGACGGCGTCCTGCGTTCACACAGAAATCATGACTTCTTCCGAAATGGAGTATGACAGTGTGAGCCGTTAGCAGCTCGGCGAATGAGAGGAGGCAGCCGTGTCAGTGCTGAAGGTAATTGCTGTGTGTGCATGACATAGATGTGAGTGTGGCCTTTCAGCACACGCCTCCACACGTGGACACTGGGAACCACTGTGTTTGGAGAACACGGATTATATCAGTGAAGGCTCGATGCTGCCCCACGCCCCGCGATGTCCAGTATTGTGACCTCACTGCAGGTTCCGGGTAGGGCCTTCAAAAGGAGAATGTGTGTGTTTAGGGAGGGATAAATTAGCTTCTAGGAATTTTTAGGAAAAAACATTTTTGATGCAGTCACTTCTCCTGGGTTGGAATTATGCTTGCGTTATGATGGAAATCATGAACACGCTGTAATTTTAAAGTGTGACCTTTTGTCTGAAAGATTGCTAAGTGATACAGTGTATCAGTTGTTACCCACCAGTGTTGACAGCTACTTTCTGGAGGTGGAAAAAAGAGACATTAGAATCCAAAGATATACTGCATTCCTACCACCTGCCCCCCCCAGCCCCCTAAATTTGAGACGCATTTACATGCATCCGTCACACTGAACACCCAGCTCTGTTTCATTTGGCGCAGAGAAAAGTGGGCTGCGCTGGCTTTTCCACCCCACCCAGAAGACTCCCATGTGGTGGCATTGAAGAGTGTCCCTCAATGAGGGGACAGCTGGGCCACACACCCTGGTGGCAGCCTGGAGGCCCAGGGACAGTGGCGGCAGACGGCTTAACCTCAACTAATAGCAAGCAGGACTTTCAACCTGTTTCTCACTGGCAGGGTCTCAGGGTGACATACTATCATCAGAAGCGAGGAACTCCTTTTGTCTGAGGTCCAGTAAGGCCTTACGAGTCCAGCAGGAAAGGACAGTGAGTAAAGGCAGGAATCCTTCCGTTTTTAGTTTGGAAATTAACTCATCTTTAGTCATTGGTTTTACAGTCTAAAATCCTTTGTGGCATAGGAAACCTAACAACACTCACTAGAATCAGCAGTGGCTGCTGGTCTAGGTGGCTGAGTTTGCTTTGAACAAATGCACAGACCCGTCAGCCTTACCTTCTGCCCACAGAACGTGGCTGCTTTACAGGGACATGAGACACACACCCAGGTGGGCACAACTGCATTTTTTGTCAACACAAACAACTCTGAGATGTCTTTAACAGAAATCTGAGCAGCAGGCATAGATCTGTAGGTGTGTGTAAGGCGTTCTGAACCTCCACCCTGGACGGTAGATGTGGCCGGACCGAAGTCACTCCGCCTTAGAAGAATGTATTCGACTTCAAGATTAAGGCTAATTTGCAACAAACCGGGCCGGGTTCCTGCCTGCGGAATTCCCCATGCTGCCACACATGGCTTTTTATCCCAGCTTCTCACGCGAGGAGCCCTCCTTGGGCTCAGGGCTCCTGGTGCGATTCCCACCTTCGTCACGACGGACACGTCTCTGCGTTTGCACCTTCACGCTCCCCCATGTTCAGGATGGCAGTTGGCAAGTAAACGCCAGGCAGGGTGTTCTGATTTCAAATCCGGAAGAGATGGAAGTTAGAGACAGCTTCCTCATGATGTCGAGGGGAGTTCAAGGACAAGAAGATGAAAGTTCGCAGCTCTTAGGTGGGGCCTGGAAGCCCATGCTGAAGCACACCGCCGCTCCCAGGCAGCAGGCAGCCCCAGCACGAACGCAGTGCGGACTTACTCCCAGGGAAACCATGTCACCATTGCCCTCTGTTCCTTCTTAGTTTTGCTCTGCTGCTCACGCTACCGCCTCACACTCATGTATTTGGAGCAGGGGTAAGGAGGACAGGTTGTAGACAAGGAATTAAGACCTGTGCATCTAAATGTTAATTTCAGATCAGGGTTTTTTTCTAGGCCCTTCATTTGTGGGTAATTATAGAAATGGGCTCTTTGACAATTCCCTTGCCTTTTGGGTTACCTGTCACCAAAACCGCAAGACCTGGAACCCTTTCACTTCCGGTCACTGTCTGAGGCATCCTTCAGCTGTTGGGATGCTTCAGAGTGGTCAGTCCAGATTCCTTCCTTCGTCGTCACTGTAGTCAACGTACGGGCAGAGACAGGAACGAGCCCATCATAAGGTAAAATGCATGATTTCTTCACGTGCTTTCTCGATATTGGTAAATTAAGATGTCTGCAGCTTATTTAGGTCAAAAAAAGGAGAAGAGAGAGAGAATGGACGACATCAGTGTGGAGTGTCCTTCACACGGCCTGGGGATCCTGCGAGGGGTTCTGCGACTCGCATCTCGGGAAGCCAGTCTGACTTGGTAAGAGAACTCTTGGTTTCATTCAACCTTTTGTTATAGCATAAAGTTGCTACAAACGGATCAAAGCAGACTTGGGCAGGAGGGAAGCCGGACGCCACTCCCCCAGGAAGGATCCCTCTGGTTTCCGTCCGGGAAGGGCACCAGGCCCCGTCCTCGGCCTGCTAGAGTCAGTGCAGCGTGGCAGCCTCGGGAAAATGTGGCAGGGCGAACAGCAGGCTCCCTGATGACTAATCAGATGAGTTTGTTTCAACAAAAACAGAATAGGCACCTTTGAAAAGCTCAAATTAAAGGTGAAAAGCTCAAACACATGAAGTATGTGTTTGAAACCAGCAACCAGGAGATGCCCAATGGAAACCAGAGGATCGGCTTCCCTTCTGGCCCAGAAGCTCCAAGGGTATTTCTGTTAAGGAAGCCCACTTACACAGTGCTGAGAGGCCAGAGGCGAGCCCAGAGCGTGGGACTGTCCTGCAGAACGCGGGGAGGTGCAGGAGCTTAGGGAGGGCCTGCTTCTCAGGGCAGTGAACTTGTCAGACCTGGGAGCTATGCAGAGGGGAGAAGGAGCCATCCAGGGAAGCCTCTCGCCGTCGTCCAGCCTGCTCCACTAGCAGATTTGGGCCTGTCTCCTGTTCGCGTAGGAGCAGACTCTTACAGAAGTGCGAAGCCAGACTCATGACCCAGGGAGCTGGCTTCAAACCACAGGAGCCAACAGGGCTACCTGAACCCTGCTCTGGTAACACAGGATCGGGTCGTGTGAGGCTCACGAGGCTTCAGTCCCTGTTTACCGAGCAGCTCAGACATGCTGCTGTTTAGCCAGCTGTGTGGGCTGCAGTGTCCAGAGACACACTGACCAGGAAATGCAGCGGGTTCTTTTCCCCTTGGGGAGTGGCTAGGGCTGAGTTGTTGCTTAGTGAAGACAGCCTAGCTTGTAAATAGGCTCATGAAGATATGCCGCATTTGAGGGCGAAAGCGGACCATACTCTGCAAACCCCTAAGCACCATCCTACACGTGAAGGCTGCAGGGACTCTTGGATTCTGGGCTATGCTCTCAGCACCACAGCTTTTATCAGGCGAATCCCTTGACCACTCTGTACCCCAGGTTTCCATCACTGAAATGGGTATAATAATTCCTAAGGGAATTGTTAGAGGGAGGAACATGTGAATTTGAGGTCCTGAGTTGTTGGGAGACAAGCCCTGGACTCCCATAGTCATTCGACTCTAGGTTCTGCCTTTGGGTAGAGGCAAAGGCCGAGAGGACAAGCCTGTCCCTTCTTGGTATAGAGGCTTTGGGACACAGGAGAGCTGAAATCCGGGTACTCTGGACAACAGACAAGTTGTACAGTCTCAAGAATCCTTGTTCTAATTGAATACAGTTGGAGTCTCTGAGTATACACACCTGACAAGGTCTCTCAGCTGGGAAAACCCACTTTAATAAATTCACACCACCAGAAAAGAAGAAAGAAATATGGCTCTGGTGAATTGGTTCAAGCTTTCCTTCAAGGCTTTGGAATAAAAATGAGTATGAATTTTGAGGGCCATAGAAACTGTGGATCTGTGGAACCACATGTGTGAGGACCAAAGGGCCAGCTCTATACAGAACAGCCGGCCAGCCCACCTCCAAGGGCAGGGGGACCCAGGCGGCAAAGGACTCCTCGTCCGCAGCGCTGCAGGCCCGTCTCCTCTCCTGTTCTCTACTGCGCCTGCCCCGCGTCAACCTTCTGGGACTGCCCTGACCATGCTGCTTGTGGGATGTGACATCAGGGTCACCTGCTGCTGCGAACCTGCTTCAGAAGCGCCCACACTGGCTCGTACCGAGGAAGTCTCTGTGTTCTGAGCGGCCTTACCAGAATCACCATAGAGGACAGTTGTTAACATTTATTCATAAGCAATACTGATTGATGATTGATTGATTAGGAAATATCTCTACAAACACAACTTAAAAACAGCAAGTCAGAAGTAGGATAAAACACCAAGAGAAAACGAGCTGTAAATAATACGTTTCGAAAATGTTTTGTTTTGTTGTTTTCATCTTGACTAGCACCATCTGTACACAAGCAAGTATGCACATAAACGTTTGGCTAATAAAGATTTGCAAGGCACTTCATCAGTCCCTCTGGGTCTTTCTCGTTCTGTGTTCACATTCCCCAGCAATCCCACGTCCACCCCACTCCTTTCTCACGAAAGCAGGAGTGAGGTCTCTTTCGCTCGCAGTTCTTATGTACAAACAAGGTCTGTAAAGGTCCTCAAAGTGCTTTTTCAGTCTCGCAGGGCGTGGACACCCCTCGGGCTTCCCACCTTCTTCTCCTTCCACGGGGGTTTGGCGTTTGCCCCCTTCCTACAGAAAACAAAAGAAAACTCGCCTTCCGCTCAACTCTCGCTCCAGACTTCCCACCAACCTTCATCCTCATTCATTGTCTCTGATGCTCCGGCACGGAGGGCCGAGGGGCGTGCGACGTCTCTGAAGTCCCAGGGAGCGGGGGGCCCGCGAGGACAAGCGTCTGGCCCTCTACCGGCGCCTGGAGGTGACATCAAAGCAGGTGATCATCATGAGGTGGGCCTTGCAGAAGTTGACGCGGCTCTCCAGGCGCGCTGTCACGCACTCCAGGGCCTCCAGCGAACCCAGCTCCCAGACCTGCTCCAGGTCAACTGCGGAAGAGAAAGGGCCTGATGGAGAGCAGAGCAGATGGGGCGAGAGGCACCTCCCGACTGCGCAGCCCGCCGCTGCCACCCCCAGTCCACCCGTTGCCTCTGACGTGCCTGCTTCAGGCGCCCGCAGCGTTCCCTCCTGCGCGACCCTCAGCCTCTTTTGGGTGGAATGGGACACTCTACCAGTGTTTAAACGCTCAATGTTTTTGAGATTATACTGAGCAATAAGGTGACATTCTAGCTCCCCACCTCCAGCCGTCTCCATCCCAGGGTTTGAGAGACTCTACAGCACTATCAGCCATCAAGTAAATACTTCTTCAAGCTGAGGTGGCGAGAGTCCCTCCCTGGAGTGACATCTGGACCTCTGCTACCTCCCTCCTATGACAGGATGATTCTGAATTCTAACCCGATGTCTTTCCTGACATTCAGGCCTGCACAGAGTGAAAAGTCTGTGTCCTTCAGAGCCTGCAGAGCAAGTATCTGGGATCACCCCTTCTGGCCTCAAGTCCCAGTATGAGCAGGGAAGGCACAGACAGCAGCCAAAGGTGATGGGGTGGCCCTGGAACCCAACGCTAGGGGCTAGCTCTGGGGCTGGCACAGTGTCCTTCGGAGTGACTTCAGAGTGGGCATTCCTACCTGCCTGCCTTGAGCTGCTGTGAAGAAAATAAAAGTGAGAGAGTGATCATGAACTTGATTTGAAAACCGTGACGTGTGATGGAAACCGTGGGATGAGAGTGGAAGCTGTCTGTCTTTTTTTTGCAGATGATGAGGTCCCGGAGCTCTGGACAGTGATATGGCTCATGAGGTGACAGTTAATCAACACTAGAGTGGGAAGGAGACTGAGGGCCCTGAATACCAGTTTAATATTTAAAAACCAAAGCAAAAAAGCAAATGAACCATCATTCTGTGGCCACATCCGGCTCCATTACTGGACAACCTTGAAACTGGCACCAGAACGAAAAGCTAAAACTCAACTAAAAATGGATCTTTCCAAGCCCGTCCCCTGCCTCTTGCCCACAGGGAACAGCCAGCATGCAGCCTCATGGATTCTTTTTTCATTAATGTTTTCAGTTCATCTAAAAAAAACAATCTCTCTTTCCCCTTTCATGTGGCTTTCTGTTCATTTTCTTTCTCGGCATCAAAAACTCTGATTTCTGACATGTACAAAGACTAGAAGGAAGCGACTGTTTCCCGGAAGCATCTAAACACATACGTATTGATGTTTAAGCTTGCTCCCATCCTGGGAAAAAATGTGACTTTGTAAGAGGAAGATAATTTTCAACTCTGCCTTGGGCATAAACAGTTCTTGAAAAATAAAATGTGAATGAAAACAGCAAAAATGACGGAGAACTGACTGCAAGGAGGCCCCTGGGATCCTGAAGTGGCCAGGGATTCCTGAAACAAGGAACGGGGTATCTGGAGCAGGGAGAGGGACAAGCAGAAGGCCCCATGCACATGCCAAGGGCAGACACTCACCGCGTCCTCACCCATCTGCCCTCCCCATCAGTGCCTTGGAGGACCGGTTCATGTCTTTGTTCACATTTCTAACGGAAGATCCAGCTCAGGGCATCATGAAAGCAGGCACGAAGGAAATGCCCCCTTCTTATTTAAGATGGGCTCACTCTGTCCCCCAGGCTGGAACACAGAGGCGCAATCTCGGCTCACTGCAACCTCCGCCTCCCCAGTCCAAGCGATCCTCCTGCCTCAGCATCCTGAGTAGCTGGGATTACAGGCTCCCCCCACCATGCCGGGCTAACTTTTGTACTTTTGGTAGAGATGGGGTTTCGCCATGTTGGCCAGGGTCATCTTGAACTCCTGGGCTCAAGTGATCCGCCCACCTTGGCCTCCCAAAGTGCTGGGATTACAGGTGAGAGCCGCCACACCCAGCCAGGAAGTATCTCCTGCTGAGAATGTGGATGTTGTTGAACTTGGGGATGATGATGATAATTACTACCAGGTCCTGAAACTCTCATCCTGGGCCAAGCAGCATGGTGAGGACCAACAGGAGCTGGCTTACACCTCACAACCACCCTGTGGTGTAGTCACCATCGCTGTTCCCATTTCACAGCTAAGGAAATCAAGGCTCAGAGTTAAGTGTCCTACCCAAGGTCCCCAGCCAATGTGTGAGAAAGCCAGCAGCCAAAGCAGGTCTGTGTGGCTGTGCTCACAGCTGCAAGTGCTGCAACTGGAGACTTCCATAGACTTCCCCAAGAATCCAGTGAGTACTGCGGGAAGTGCTACCACCTCCTTCCTGCAGAGAAGCAGCTGCTGGGAGCTGAGGTTCCATGTGGCCGGCACGGCCGGGAGGCCTACAGTTCCTGCCACTTTCTTCTACCCAGGACCATTTCACCCCAATATGCTTTCAACCAGCTGCTTTGGCTTTCAGCCTCCACCTGCAGACCCCCCCCCCCCCCGCACTGGCCAAGGAAGACTGGAAGAGGGGAGGGGGCGTTATACAGGAGGCCCGCTGGGGCGGAGGGAGCCTGGGAATAGCAGGACTGTATTTTACCTGAGTCTTCCAGCACTGCTGCCTGTATCAGTGTCATAGCTGGGACCAGACTGAAGTTTTATTTTGTGCCAAATGGAGTGGTCAGGACCAAACAAATAAGAGACAATTGAATCCGTCTTTCAAAGACAGCAAAATTGTCCTGAATTGTTATGAGATGGTTATGGTCATCTTGGGCTTTCTGTTCAATGGAAAGAGCACTGTGGCTGTGGTGTTATGAGGAGATTTTTTCACTCACTCACATGTTCCTGGCTTTCTGGGTTCTCCATGTGGCTTCTCTAGGATTGTACACATTGTTCTCTGAAGGGCTCTATAAATTCCTGTCTATTTCAGGCTAGATGTTCAGGGTGATTTTGTGGCTGAGGAGCAGATGTGTCACACAGCCTTCATGCAGGGGGAGAAATCTCATTTTCAGGTGCCTTGGACTGAGACCCGTAAGAAATAATCCTGCAAGAGCGATCTTCACCGCCCCTCTGCTGCCCCAGCCCCTCCCGCCCACCCCCAGGGGAGCAGGGCTGATGAGCTCACTCCTGCAGCCGTGACCGAGGATATAGACGCAGCCTGTGTCACTGTCACCCTGGGCTACGCGCCAGGCCTGCTGAGCGGGTGGGCCCTGAGTCACGGCGATGGGACAGACCCCAGGCCTTACATTCACTGAGCCACTTGTTGGGATCCAGCATCAGATACTGCTTGGTTGTCTCCAGCTCCTTCATCAGCCACTCGTACTTGGCGCGGACCTCGGCGATCCTCTGCTGGCGGTGCTCCAGGATTTTCAGCTTTGCGTTGAAGCACAGGACCTCCTAGCACACAGAGGAGGAAGTGGGTGAACAGGAGACAAGGCCCTTCTGCTCACACCCAGCCCGTGCCACAAGGAGCACTTCTGAGTGCCGTAGGTGGAAACCAGCTGGAGACCCACGGGAGGCCTAGGTGATCCCAGCCGAATTTCTGCCTCAACAGACGAGTCAGTTCAGACAACTCCCAAGGCAGGACTATCACAGACCATTCTTAAACTGGGAAAGCAGGTGGAGGTGGAGGGTGTTTCAGGATGGACAAAGGCTGGTGAGAAAGAAAAACCTCAAGGAGCCAGAAAAGCCCTGAAGATCACCAGCCCTCCACTCCCTGGCTTTGGAGTTAAAACATTTCAGGAGGAGAAACACGGGGCTCTCTCCAAAGCCTCTGTCCAAAGGCCCTTTGCTGGGACAGAAGCCCGCTGGGCAGAGGCTGGGTCTGAGCCGTCTTCCCCAGGGCCCCACCTGGCACCTGCTCAGGCTTGCTGGGAGCTGCCACCACATCGTGGGGGGGAGGGAGGAGGCTGCCTCACCTTGCTGCTGCCCCCTCGCCGCCGCTGCAGGCGCTCCACGTCATCGATTTCATAGACTTTAATCTCAAAGGGCTCCCCGAGGCCCCTCTGGCTGCTGCTGCGCAAGGGGCCGTCCACCCAGCGGATGCCTGTGCTGTTGGTGGGTTTTCTCACCGGGGAAGAGGTGTCCAGGGACAGTGCTGGGATGAGCCTCCGTCTCTGAGAACCTAAGGAGGAGATTAAACCCAAAGAGGAGTTAATCTTTCTGAATGTAAATCTCTTTTTTTTTTGAGACAGGGTCTTGCTCTGTGGTCCCGCTGGAGTGCAGTGGTGCGAACACAGCTCACTGCAGCCTTGAATTTCTGGGCTCAAACAATTCTCCTGTCTCACTCTCCTAAGTAGTTGTGACCACAGGTGCATACTGCCATACCCAGCTATTTAAAATTTTTTTTTTTTTTTTTTTTTTGTAGAGACAAGGTCTCACTATATTGCCCAGGCTGGTCTCAAACTCCTGGCTTCAAGTGATCCTCCCACCTTAAACTCCCAAAGTGCTGGGATTACAGGTGTGAGCCACTACACCTAGCCTGAATTTCTTTTTTTTTTTTTTTTTTTTTTTGAGACAGATTGCAATGGTGCCATCTTGGCTCACTGCAACCTCCACCTCCCATGTTCAAGCAATTCTCCTGCCTCAGCCTCCCGAGTGGCTGGGATTACACGTGCCCACCACCACACCCAGCTAATTTTTTGTTTTTCGTAGAGACAGGGCTTCACCATGTTGGCCAGGATGGTCTCAAACTCTTGAACTCAAATGAACCACTTGTCTGAGCTTCTCAGAGTGCTGGGATTACAGGCGTGAGCCACCGTGCCCGGCCAAAATTTCACTTTTTAGAGCCCAGATCTTTATCTTGTGTATATACATACACAGTTGTATTTAGCTCACAGCAAAGCGCAGGCCCCAACTAATGAAACTAAGAAACCCCAACCCACTGGAAGAAAGCAGGTATGTCTCCTTACTGTGTAAGACATTCACTATGGGAAACACCAGATCATAGTTCATAGTTTTGTTTTTCTCCTTTAAGTTGGTCTGATCGAGGTAGCTGACTGTGAGCCTCAACTCTAGCGTCTACCACGTGGCAGGAACCTGTGAAACAGCAGGGAAGCCACAGAAGATGTTCGCTTCTGACAGGGACAAGTGAGGCAGTGAGCGTCTGAGCGTCCCCAGGGTGAGTACTCAGGAGTCCAGGTGGCTCTCACTCCTCTAGGCTGCAAACTCTGGGGAAGTGGCTGTTACACCCTTTTGTCTGGGTTTGAACAAAACGTACTCAGACCATAGAGAGGGTACCTGGCCCTCCTCCTCACCTACTCTGGCCCTGAGGATAAGGTCAAGAGAGATTCCCCCTCGAAAACTGAGTCAGTATGTAATGGAGAGTCTCTCCTGCTTCAGCCCAAGCTGGGCTCCCTCAGACGGGCTCAGGCATCTGTGGGATGATTCTTCTAAGGATCTGATTGGATGAGAAATGGGAGGAGCTGAGGAGAGCCATGGGAGGGCATAGTGTATTAGTTATCTACTGCTGTGTAACAAATGAACCCCAAACCCAGCAGCTAAAACAGCAAACGTGTATTTCACATAGTCCTGTGGGTTGGGAATCTGGGAGCAATTTCTGCCAGGTGGTTGTGGCTCAGGGCCTCTCTGGAGTCACAGGGAGGCTGTCAGCTGTGGTTGTACTTGACTGAAGCTGAAGCTTTGTTTCTAAGCTCACTCATGCCATCACAGCAGGAGGCTTTAGTTCACTGCCACGCCGGCCTCTCCACAAGACCGTCAAGACCTGGCAGCTGGCTTCTCCCAGAGGAAGTGCCCCAGAAAGCGAGAGGGCCGCCCAGCACGGAAGCTGCAGTGGCTGACTTCCTCTCGAAAGTGACATACCATCACTCTGCCGTATCCCACTGGACACAGAGACCAACTCTGGTAAATACGGGAGGGGACCACGGATGGGATGTGAGCTGACGGGAAAATACCTTGGATGAGGGCCACCCTCAATCTCCTGCCAACACCCACGCCAGGGCACCCTGTGAGATGGGAGTAGAGAAAGTGAAAACACTGAGAGTGACACTTTGCTGGGCTACAACAGCTTCCTAGAAATATCCTAATCCCCGTTGCCTTCTTTCCATGCCATCTAGCAACCTTGAACCTCGTCACCACATCCATTCCCTCCCGAGGCGGGAAGTGAGTGCCCAAGTTCGAGTGAGTTGTGGTTTTGGGGGGCTCGGAATACCTTTTTCCTGCACACGAATGAGCAAGTGTCTTGGATTGCCATAAAATTCTGAATTTGGGTACCGGAGCCCCTATCCCGTGAAGGAGATGATACTCCGTTCCTGCATCTGCGGCCGCGGCTCCCTCCAGAGGTACACGTGAGCCTCACTCAGGCAGTGAGGAGAGATGCCAAATGCTAGGGCAGGGGCCATGTGGTCAGGCTGAGGAATGGGTCGGGGTGGAGACGGTGCCCCCACATTACTGCAAGGGGCACAGGAAGTGATGGTACCGAGATGCCATTGCTGGGCAAAGACTGGCCCGAGGGCCTTGGTCTGGGGCCCCATATAAGGAAGGGTTCTCCTATTTTCTGCCTGCGCCAGCACCTCCACCTCTCAAGCAGATGCCCAGCTTGCTGCCAAGCCCGGTCTCTGCCAAGGACCCCCTCCTTCCAGGCTGCAAGTGGGGTCAGAGCAGCATCAGCTCTAAGAAAGGCGGAGGGGGAGCCCCACCCTGGTGAGAGTCATGCTGTGCCCCACTGGACGTGGACGCCGCCTGTCTGCCCGCGGAGCACACGGCCAGGGCCAGCCTCCTGCTGGTGCTGGTGGGTCAGGCTCCCTTCGGCTCATCAGCCTGGCATTCGGTCCAGGCATGTTAAAAACACTTAGGCTGATACCTGCCAACATCGTTTTGCTGCATGAAATGAACCAGATTTGACCTGAGAAAGTCAACACTGATATTTCAGTGAAGCTTCCAACCAGGACCCCACCCCCTAACAGGCTGAACCCACCCCGTCGCCCCTCCCCTTCCAGGCGTGGCCGACAGCTGCGTACAGAAGAGGGGTCGCGACCCATCACAGTCCACCTCACTGTACCATCTGCGGCGCTGACAGCCCACGCGGGAAGTCTGACGTTGGGCCTTCTACTCTTCACGTCCCCAATCCAGATGGAAGTCCCCACCCGAGTCTGCAGATGCTGCTGCTTAGGGTGAGTGTCGGGAAACACGGGTATGCTGAGTGCTGAGGCCTCTCCACTGCCCCTGGCGAACATGCTTCCAGCCATTCCCAAACTCCTGCTCCCAAGACCCCTCAGCATAGCTGTCTCCCGTCACCCGCCGCCTGCATTCTGACTCAGTGTGGGCGCTAGGAAGACGGCGAGTCAGAAAAGCCCGAAGCACTCATGTTGAAAGGAACCATAGATCCCAGAGCAGAGAGAGCGAGAATGTGCGTCAATGCATGTGATTTTACTGACCAGCAAGGAGCCAGCTGCATGAGGAAGAAGGACGCTGGCTGTATGGCCTGTTGTCATGTTTTGGCTGAAAAGGCAAAAATGCTCCCACGCTGCGGATGAGAAAGAGGCGGCTCCCCAGGCCACAAGCGCAGATCCTGGGCTTCCTCCCAGGTGCTCTGAGATTCTCGACCCTGCACCTAGGCCCACAGTGTCACCTCACAGCATCGCCGCCACCTACTCTATTTGGAGTTCTACTCGAAGAAGCTTCCTCGGTGTCTTAGAGGATCAGTTGCTTTTCTCCGATTTCCGCAGCTGTATATTCACAAAGGCTCTGGTTCTGACCCTGTCCTCAGCTGTCTCCAGCTTGATGCTCTCAGAAACATTCTGGAAATCAGAACTCTGCCAGGGCAGCTTGCCTTCCTCTGCCTTTCACTAAGCCAGTGACCAGTAGCTTCTTGAATTTACTCAGACAGAACCAGGCTGTGCCTGAGAAGCCGATGAACAGGAGCGGGCCGGCAGAGCAAAGCACGGTGCCCTCAGGGCTTGGTGAGGGGCGATGAGTCACAAGGTTTTGTGCAGCACTCTGTGGACCGAACCTGGCACGCTGGGAGCCCAGTTCACACAGGCGCAAATCGCAACTCACAAGACAGGCCCATCAGTCAGTAGCGCTGACTCAGCACCACGACGAAGGAAGACAGTGTCTGATGCTTAGAATGGCAAAGAAGCAGACGAGACGCCACATTTAAAGCGCTTCCCACCAGCAGGGCAGGTTATGAGGAATACACAGGAAAGAAGCATGAGCAAACTTTTAGGACCAGGCGGCCAGCCAAGCGAGCAGCCCATCAGCGAACCAACCCCTAGCATTCACCGCTCACCTGCAGCAGCCCCATGCTGGGCACCAAGCTGCTTGGGTGAGGCGCAGAACAGCCCTTGCTCATGTCCCAGCAGGGCCAGGGCTGGGTGATCCCAGAACCCCCAGGCTTCCCGGAGGGGCTTCTCCGCAGGCAGACCCTCCCTCCGGAGCTTTTCCGCTGCTGAGCCTCCCTGTGGTGGGAATGCATTTAATTTAGAGCAAGGTGTTCACCGGACTGTCAGACTTCCCCATCCAGTCCAAGAAGAGAAAAGCAAGGGGAAAATCCAAGGAAGTAACACACCAGGATGAGGGTGAAATGCAAGGGACCAAAGGACGAAAATAGAATGTTCATCATGTATAATGGATGATAGGGGAGGGCTGTGGGTGTTAGGACCGGGAGCTTGGGGTGGGGGCTCAGCTGGTGCAATTACGGCATAAACTCTCACCGACGGACGTCCTCAGCAGCCTGCATGCATGCTGGCCGGGACAGACATTCACTCCCCACCTGGGCTGGCTGCTCTACTCTAATTCTGGGCTCCAGTCTATTCACAGTTTCAGGTTGCTGACCACAGAGGGGCTGGCAAGGAACTGTAGAGGGAGCAATGGAATCCCTCAGTAAAAGCAACACGGTTTCTCTCCCCACATCAATTTGTTGGTCAAGAGCCTACAATGATGCCCCACTACCAGCTACAATAACATAGGGTGTATTCTGTTTGTCTTTTAGACATGGAGTCTTGCTCTGTCACCCAGGCTAGACTGAAGTGGCGCAATCTCAGCACACTGCAACCTCCACCTCCCACGTTCTAGCAAGTCTGCCTCAGCCTCCCAAGTTGCTGGGACTACAGGCACATACCCCGACGCCTGGCTAATTGTATTTTAGTAGAGACGGGGTTTCACTGTGTTGCCCAGGCTGGTCTCGAACTCCAAGCTCAGGCAATCCACCCACCTCCTACAGTGTTAGAAGTACAGGCATGAAGCACCATGCCTGGCTACCGTAATACAGTATATATTCTTATCCTAGTTCTATGCAACTGTGTGGAATAGAGAATGATGTGCACTGTTCCTGTAGTTCGCAGATGTTCCAGGTGTAACTAGATCTGGGTTTACGTTTTCTCGCCTCTTGCTACACTTGGGAACATCCCCTCTGTGAGTTACTCACTGTGCTGCCCACAGGCCAGGCTCTTGCTGCCCGGAGCCAGTGCTCCCGTTCCTGCCCCAGCCTGCAAGGCCAGCACCCTGGCTGCCTGTCCCGACGCGAGCACCCTCCATGACCAAACTCAATCCCAGTGTTCTCTGCAGCCCGTGACTTGCAGTATCCTGCTGTGTCTCAACGCCTTCTCCACCTGGGTCTTCACTGCGCCATCAGCACTGGGCAGTGCACTCAGTTCCCTGTCTCTGTTCCACGTTTTTCATCCTTTCTCTCCAATTAGATGACAAACTTCTTACAGCGGCCTTGTCTTCTATGGCAGCTGCCTCCACCTCCACCCACACACTTGAAACTTCCAAATCACCAAGCTCTAAGAGCACAGAAGATACCTGATCAATGTTTAACAACTGAAAATCAATCCCACTGACTACAGATGGCTTTAAGGAAAAGATATCATATGGCTATCAATATTATTTGAATTCTCTGCATAGTCTCATAGGATGTGGGCAGCAGAGACCATGGCTGTTTTACCCACCAACCTTCTCCTTTTCCTTGCATGAGAAAACTGAAGCTCAAAGAGGATAGTTATTCCCAAAAGGTCACACAGCTCAAGCTTCTAAGTCTCCTGCTTTCTAACTTAATTCGCTGCACCCTGCTATGGCTGATGGAACAAGCCCAGGCCGGTGCTCCCCAACAGCATGGAGCTCCAAGAATAAAACAACGAACCATCGCCATGCTCGGTCGTTTCTGCTGTTACATGGACTACAAAGGAACCGGAGAGCTCAAGGTTATTTTCCCCGTAATTCTCGTTCATTTTTACTAGGAAAATAACAAAAGCATTAAACTTTCCCAAACCCAAAACACATCTCAGATAAAAGATGTCTCCTCTCCAGCTCCAGACATCTCTCGTCATTGTAAACTCCGGCCATCTAGTTAGGGATTTCCTTGGAGGGGCTTTATAGCATCTCTTAAAGAAGCTGCTTTTGATTTATGCTCATCATGTCTGACAGCCACCATTTCTCTTAATAATAATCATAAATAAGCAAGACAAGGTCACCTAACCTGAACCAAGCGCATCTCCACTGCCACATCCATCACGGAGTGCTGGACCTACAGCAGCCGGTCACGAAGGCCTCCTGCTCTCAGCACGCCACGTGAGGCCCCGTTTCTAGCCCTACCCTGGCCTTTTCATTTGACACCGTTTTCCTCCAACAGCCTTCCCTAAGCAGAGACTCCTAGAGGACCACAGGTATGAAAGCACTCAGCCCAGAGCAAGGACACGCGCAGAGCCTGCTGCCTGCTCACCAGGCAGTTACTTCACACGTTTGGTTTTTCACCGTTTTTCTTCCCCTTTACTCCAGTGTAACAACCAAACCAAAAAATGAAAAGTCTTGAAAAAAAAAAAAAAAACAACTGTGAAAGGCATCAAAATAATGAAATGGATGGGTAGGCTCAAGGCGCTAAGTTGGAGTGCATGAAAGCACTCTGTAACACGGGGCTACACGTGACCAGCAGCGAACGGCACACCGTCATCTGGACTCTGAACACCGAGGCTGCATAGACGCCAAGAACAAGTGTTCTTAACCAGGTACTGGGAAGGCCAGCAGATTTTTTCCCGCTTATTTTTACTATTATCAATACGTTTCAATGCCCTGGGCCCTGGCCATAAGACACAGCGGCTGCCATGTTACACGGAATGGCGTTTCAACTAGCCTTAAATGGCGTTCTGAGCTAAGGTCTGTTGCTGAGACTGAGGGGATAAGTGAAACCGAGTCAAAGTCTATCAAAGACTGAAGCATACCGCACCTGGGAAATAAAGCCGTGAAGGTACTGACAGCCACGATGATGCCCTACCACGCTGACAGCATAACACCCCCAGAGCTAAGCTCTGCGGACGGGACTGTCTGTGTCGCAAAACCACATCTGCTTAACTACACGGTCCCTGGAGGTGGGTTTCTTTGATTCTAGGAAGATGAATGGTTTACAATGTGCATTTGGCCACAGCCCTTAGGTGTTGGAACATTCCAGAATTTGTGCTGGCCTGTAATGGGAGAACAGGAAAAAGCAGGCCCGTGACTGAGACAACCAGCCTGTGGGCTGCAGCAGTGGCAAAGGGAGGCTCCACGTCTGTGTCTCACCCCATCCTTTACCTCCCAGCGTGCTGCAGGTACCAAGCCCCCGCAGGGCCCTGGCTTCGAGGGCCTGTGGCTAGCTTCCGCTATTCTTGGTACTTCTTGTCCCTGTCTGTCGTTTTCTCCCGTTACCATCCTTTCATTCACCTGTCCCATGACTTCCAGGGCCACCAGCTCTGACCTGGGGCCTCTTCTCCTTGCCCGTCGTGACTTAACTGTCACGTGCCACCCAAAACTCCGATTAACAACTCAGTGGGCTTTATACAGTAGCTCTTCTGGAGCACGTACCCTTTGATAGGAGATTCTTAAAATGGCAAAGGCCACCTGGGCATGGTGGCTCACGCCTATAATCCCAGCACTTTGGGAGGCTGAGACGGGCGGATCACTTGAGGTCAGGGGTTCGAGACCAGCCCGGCCAACATTGTGAAACCCCGTCTCTACTAAAAATACAAAAATTAGCCAGGCTTGGTGGCACATGCCTGGAATCCCAACTACTCATGAGGCTAAGGAGAATTGCTTGAACTTGGGAGGTGGAGGTTGCAGTGACATAAGATCACATCATTGCATTCGAGCCTGGGCGACAGAGTAAGACTCCATCTCAAAAACAAAATAAAGAAAAAAAGAGAAATGGCAAAGGCTTTCTCCAAAATCGTGCATTTCGGGCACATGGTTTGCTGGGGGAGGAGGGGGCAGGGCTTGGCAGGTGTGCAAATGTGAGCGTCCACAAGTATGTTTCGGGTGGGGGTGGAGAAAGGGCCTCACCCACTGCGCTTCCAATGAGAGAAACCGCATGATCCCCCATCCCTGAGAGGCCGCCAGAGTCTCGCGGGCCAGCACCAGCCTCACTCGAGGGGCTTCTGTAGCCACCAGGCCATGAGGGTGGTCTCCCTCACCAGATCCCTCCGCAGGCTCCAAACAGTCCACAGGACTCTTGGCCGTCAAGCAGAGGGCCACGGGGTGAGAGGATGGAGGTGGGGGAGCCGGTCTTCCCCCACAGCCGGCAGGTGAGGGTCATGCTGCTCTCCGCGCCCCGCCCGGCCTGCCCACCCTGCCGAGCACCAAGGGAGTCACAGCCTTACGGCTGAGGAGGGCACCGCAGAAGGGCAGTTTCTCACAGACACGCTCCACGCGGTGTCCCCAAGGAGCCCGCGGGAAAGGCAAGGCCAGGCCTGGATGCCACCGGACGCCCCGTTACCACGGGCCACGGGCCGGCCCGGCAGGGGGTTCAGGCAGCTCGCCCGCCCACGGCCCGCGGCCCTCCCCGCCGCCTACCTGCACCGGGCCGCTTCTTCGGGGCCTTGAGGCTGCGGCAGCGGCCGCCCGCGGAGCCGCTGTGCTCGCTGGTGGAGTCCTGCGCCGACGACGCGCTCCCGGTGGCCTCGCTGTCCCGCATCATGCTCTCGTAGCCGCTGCTGCCGCCGCTGTGGTAGAACAGGGCCGTCTTCCCCATGGCCGGCGGGAGCTCCCCGCTCAGCACGCTGCTGTTGTCGCTGCCGTGGCCGCTGCTGCAGCGGTGCGGCCTCCGCGGGGCCGTGATCTTGCTGTAGGGCGACGGCAGCGCGGGCCTGTCCTCGGGCCGCTCCCCCGCCGGGGCCCCGCCGCGCGCGCCGCCCTGCAGCAGCTCCGAGATGCGCCCGTGGACGGCGCGCAGGGGCAGCTTGGAGGCCAGGCCCGCGCTGCGGGTCCTGCTGAGCGACTGCGTGGACCAGGACAGGGGCTTCCCGCCCGCGGGCGCGCCGGGGCTCTGGCCCACCGACTGCGGCAGAGACTTGGTGGAGAAGCTGAGGGTTCGGGTGGCGGACGCGGACAGGCTGCGCGCCTTGGGGCTGGCCAGGAGGAGTTTGCTCACGGCGGAGACCTTGGCCTGGCTGGCCTTGGGCGAGGCCCCGGCCGAGGAGCTGGGGGGCGAGGTTCCCGCGCCGCGGCCCAGGGTCCTCCCCACGCGGGGCATGGTGCTGTCCTTGCCCGCGTGCAGCCGGGAGCTCACGGAGGACAGGCTCTCGGCCCGCTCCAGGGAGAGGCATTCGTAGTGGCTGACCGTCGACCTGCCCAGAGAGTTGGTCCTGCCGGCCAGCTGCTCCAGCTTGGCACTGAAGAGCTTGCTGCTGCTGCTGCTGCTGCTGCTGGCATCCTTCATCTTGCCGCTGGGCTCATCTGGGAGGCCCGCCAGGAAGGCGGCTGGCTGGTTCAGGGGGCTGCTGGTGCCGCTGCTGCTGGCGCTGTGCTGGGGGCTGGCCCGGTTCTTCTGGTCCAGGCTGGACTTTCGGACAGGGGGCAGAGGGGGAGTCCCTTTGGGCCGAGCCAGGACACAGTGCTTGGGGGAAGCCACCTTCCTCTCCAGCGTACCCTTGGAGGGCTGGGTGCCCGAGGCTGCGCCCACCCCGTTGGTCTCAGCAGCAGAGTAATAGAGGAGGCTGTCGGGCTCCTCCTGCCGGCTGGCCTTCTGAAATGCCCTAGGAAGGCTGCTGGACTTGACACTTCTGTTGGCACGCACGGGGCTCTGGGTGGCCAAACCAGGCAGGGCCATCTCACACCCATCCACGACCCTCCTGAAACTGTCGGCAACCTCCCCGCTGCTGCTGCTGAGCCTGTCGTCCGGGCTGGGCTTTCTGTCCTGCTCCTGCTCTGCCCTGGGCTCAGCCTTCGAGGGACCCGTGGCACTCTCACACCTAATCCCATCTTCATTGGGATGAGCGTTCTCTTTTTTTACTTCCTCTTCTCGTTTCAGCCAGGGGTCCTCAAACTTCATCTCTTTCTTTGCACTGTTTTCCTTACTCTCCTGGGACTGGGCTGATGTGGGGCCTGCTTTGGGGGTGGCAGTGGCAGCCTCGGGCTCTTGGATGCTCCGGGGGCTCATGGCGAGGCAGGGGTAAACGGTGATATTGGTCTTCATGGGGATGTAACCCTCGCAGCTGCTGAGATTCGCCGTGTTGGAGATGGTGACCATGGCCTTGCCCAGGGTGGATATTTTGCAGCCTTTGATGGGGGTGGCTTTGTTGAAAGAGTCATCCCCCATCTCAGACAGGATGAGCAAGTTGTCGGGGCCGGCCGTGGGCTTTTCTCTGCACACCACAGCCGTGTTCTGGATGCTGCTGACAAACTCCGAGGCCGTGGGTTCTGCCATTGCCTCCCCGTGCCCAAAACACGTCTGGGCTATGAAGCTGTGGCACGACTGCTCGCCTTCGCTGCCCGCGCTCATCTCGCTCAGCCAGGAGCTGATGGAAGAGCGTCTGCTCCCTGCCTCCTGGGCCTTCTCATCCAGGCTGATCTTCGGGAGGGGCAAGAACTGTGTGATGCTGACCTCAGAGACCGGGGCCACGCTGGAGTAGCACTCCAGGTCCTCGCTGACGCTGCTGATGATGCTGACGGGCCGCGAGCCCGAGGCCAGGGCCTGCACGGAGCAGTCGCTGTTGAAGCTGATGATGCTGGTGGGGCGGCCGCTGTCCAGGACCCCGCTGATGGTCAGCTCCTCCACCAGCGTGAACACCAGCTCGTCCTCACCGTTCAGCTCCAGCGGCTGCTGCACGGTCACCATCGTGGTGCTCAGGATCTCATTCTTGGAATCTGGAGGAGTCACTGCTTGAGGCTCATCATCCACAGGAGTTTCTGGGAACCCTTTACTTCCAGCAGACATGGACTTTTTCAAAACCTGGGGGCTCATTCCGACCGGGGGAGTACGCACCTCGGGCTGCAGCAAGGACTCACTACACACCATGCCGGAATCCTTGCTCGATGGAGGCAGGGGGGCGGGAGACGGCAGGACCCCCTTCTGGGTGTAGACTTTGCACCTCTGGGAAGGAGAGCTGGGTGGCTTGTACTCTGAGGTCTTGGACAAGCTGGCAATGCCCAGCCGGGGGGAGCCCATGGGCCTGGGCTTGCCGTCCATGAAGCCGCAGGAGTTCAGGCTCTCCCGGCTGCTCTGCAGGCTGGGGCTCTGCACCAGTGGGGAGGCGCCGTGCTGGCTGCTGCCCGGGATGCTCCTGGGCGAGGCTGGGCTGGGGCTGTGGGCGGGTGCTGAGGCGGGCATGGGCGAGTGACTCCTCTGCATCTTGGAGGCCGGGTTTTCAGGGCCTTCTCCGTCGGTCAGCTGACCTTCGGACCCATTATCTTCCCCATCGGACTCAGAGAGTGGGCTTGCCCCAGCTGCTTGGCTTAACGGCAGGGCTCTGCTGGCCGGCTCTGCCGCAAACTGAGCAGGCAGTTCTTCGAAGGGAAACTTGCTGGGCTCCTCGCTGCCGTCAATGCAGTCCAGCCTCTCCTGTAGCTCGGCAAATGTATTGCACTTCAGGCAGTCCCTTTCTGACTCGCTGGCCGCAGCCTCTCCTGCCTCTGCGGGCCTGCTGTCGCCCTGGGTCTTCTGCAGGGCTGGCACGATAGGGACAAAGTCAGGGGGGCCCTCGTTGTCGGTGAGCTCCTTGTCCGACAGGGCTGTGCCATTGGGCCCGATGTAGATGACAGTGTCACAGGACTGCTCGCTGCTGGAGGAGTAGTCGGGGTCGCTGGACAGGTGGGCGATGGGGAAGTCCGCGTCCCCTGTGGCCCTGGCGTGGAAGGGTCTCAGCTGGGTGGGCCTGCGCATGCGGCCTTCTTCACAGGAGCTCTCGCCCCCGGAGGAGCTGGACGTGTACTGTGAGGGAGAGAGCCGTTAATGTGGCGACTCTTCCAAGGCAGTTTCCCTGGGAGCCCAGCTTTGTGTGGCAAGTGGTGGAGGGCCCGGACGGACACAGGCTACTGACGGCCACCCTGTTTGGCCTCTGCATATGGGACACTCGGGTGCCACGCCAGTGGGCCCAGTCTTACGTCACCGCTGCATTAGTAAAGGAGAATCCCTGTGGGGCACGGGGAAATAGAGGCTGCTCGGGAAAGAAGGTGACCCTCCAGGCCCTGTCTGACCCACTAAGGGCTTCAGGGTCACCAACTTCTGGCAGCCTGTACTGTGGAACACTGGTTAGGAAGCACTATGGAAAGATTTAAAAAAAAAAAAAAAAAGGTACGAAATGTGGAAGGGAACAAAAGGCCCACACGTCACTAGCTGCCCCCGCCTCTTGAGTGGCCACGATCGTGGTGGTTTCCTCCAACACTTGCCACACTCCCACCATCCTGGCTTTGCCTCTGCCTGAGAAAATGAGCCCCGTGATTTCTAGCACACAGTAATCATCCAGAAACCACTGAATGACCAGGACAACACCAGCAGCCAGGCAAAGACTCCTGGACATACAGACAGGAAGCAGGGCCCTGTGAGCAGGGAGTTCGGGGTCCTCTTTGGAGCCAGTCCCTTGAAGGACATGGTCTCCATCTTCAGAGGACCGAGGTCGTGCATGAGAATGACAGAAGATCTCCCACCCCTCCCACATGCTTCATCTCAAAGTCGCAATCCATTTATACTCTCTCAAGTGGACCGAGCACTTCCACTCAGGCCTAGGCTGGGTGACCAGGGCCAGCACCAAGTATAGGGAGGGGACATGACTTTCCATCAGCCCAAAGGTTTCCCTGCCCCAGGGTGGACACTGAGCCATGTGTCCTGATGCTGAGGGACTGGCAGTGTTGACTTGGCTGTTTCCGACTGAGTCCTGGGGCAGGGCTCCAAAGGCTCTCTCGCCCACCACACCCCCCGCAAGCTCCTTACCTTTGTCTTCTTCTTCTTCATCCTCAAGACTCTCGACGCGATCTGGATGGTGGACAGGGTCTCCGCATAGTTCCCGGCCGCCGCCGAGATGTGCGCGATCATGGTGGTGCGGCAGTTCATGTTCCCCAGAGACTCCCGCAGCAGCATGGCGAGCTTGCTCTCTCTGCCAAACAAAGTGAATCAGGCTGCATTAGCGCCCGTGTCTCCCCGCGCCTGTCAGGGCGGGGCATCAGGCCTGTCCTTGGCCCCCCCTTTTTTAATGGCATACTAATCAGCATCCTTTTCCAGCATGGGGCTATTTGTAGCTGGCAGGTGCCGAGCAAGTGCTTCTAACTCCAAGATGGAATTCGTGCAGAGCATGTCCCCTGGCACCTCCGTCCTGGCTGCGACGGGGTGTGCCTGTGCGTGTGTGTCTACCACATGACACATAATGAGGCCTGGGAATAGAAGCGAGAGGAGGGGTCAGGAGAAACAGCCTGTGATGTGACTCAGCATGCTCAGTGCACATGCGGCCTGCTCCGGGAATGTCCGCACACAGGCAATCCTTGCGACGAAAAGCAGTCCCCTTGCCATGAACTTGGACTGAAGATCTGTGTGTTTCCAACAGCTGCAAAGTTCCTTCAGCCAGGAAGCTGCAGCTACTTCAGTGGCAGTGCCCTCTAACTCACACATTTACACGGAGTAGCAGTGAAGGAAAAGGCATTCACATTCCTGAAGATCAGGGAGAAACACGGAGAGAGGTCCCCGCAGTCACCCGACCAGCAACGGAAAGCAGACTTCCTGTAGAAAGGCCTCCTCGGGGGTCTCTGCAGGGGAGTGGTGATAATGAGGCCCAGGGGTTGGCAGGGAGCGTTTCTAGGTCTTTGAACTGACCTGGAGGAATGGCTGCTTTTCTGTTCCTACACTAGTCGCAGCATTTTTCCTGCCTTGCTTTTAAAGGCCTCTGCTTAGTTCCCCAGCAGCACTCGGACTCTCAGCTGCTGCCAGATGTCCCTGCATCTCTGGCATGTTCCCTGATCTAAAGGCTGAGGTCGCCTATGTCCCATACCACGCTCCTATCTCTAGGCTGTGTCTGCAATGCCAGAGGAGAGGAATTTGTCCCCATGTCCATGTCTTGTCATCCGTCCCCTGCAAAGCTCCCTGGAGAGGACCAGCCAGCTCAGCAGACAGTGTGGGACACTCAGGCCACTGTCAGCAGAGAGCAGACCATTTCACACGTGACCTGCATCCGGCCTCGGGCACGGAGGACTGTGGTGTAAGAGCAATGGCTTTTCCTTTCCATCTGGGACCAATTAAGGTGTGAGTTTGGAGATGCTGGGCTCACTATGATTCAGTTCCAGAGCAATTTGTGAATATCCCAGGGCTTCCCTTCAAGCAAATGACCAGTGATGAAAGTGGTGAGGTTGGCCGGGCCGGGGTGGCTCACACCTGTAGTCGCAGCACTTTGGGAGGCGGGGGTGGGTGGATCACGAGGTCAGGAGTTTGAGACCAGCCTGGCTAGCATGGTGAAACCCCATCTCTACTAAAAATACAAAAAATTAGCCAGGCACGGTGGTACACGTCTGTAGTCCCAGCTACTCAGGAGGCTGAGGCAGAGAATCACTTGAACGCAGGAGCTGAGGTTGCAGTGAGCCGAGATCACCCACTGCACTCTGACCTGGGTGATAGAGTGAGACTCTGTCTCAAAAAAAAAAGAGAAAGTGGTGAGGTAAAGGGTACAGAGGAGAAGGAGCAGGAGCCGTGAACATTTAACTCCCTTCAAAACGCATCTAATCCAGCAGAAATTCATGGGCACCAGGACTTGACGAGGAAGCTAGGTCCCATTCCTGGCACAGTCTTAGCCAGAGACACCACACTGGGATGCGTCTTGGGCTCTGTCTTCACTACGGGAGGTGGAGGATGAGTTCTGTTCAGATAGGTTGTGATCATATATAGTCAGCTCTATGCATGGTAGTTGTGTTCTCTATTTGTGAACATTGAATTTGTAACTACTGGGCCATTGTTCTTAGGGGAGATAAAGTTTGGTGCAAAAGTAATTGCAGTTTTTGCCATTTTTTTTTTAGTTACTTTTCTTTTTCTTCCTGAGACAGAGTCTTGCTCTGTCGCCCAGGCTGGGGTGCAGTGGCGCGATCTTAGCTCACTGCAACCTCTGCCTCCTGGGTTCAGGTGATTCTTCCGCCTCAGCCTCCCAAGTAGGTAGGATTATAGGCACCTACCACCACACGTGGCTCATTTTTGTATTTTGGTAGAGACAGGGTTTCACCATGTTGGTCAGGCTGATCTCAAACTCCTGACCTCAGGTGATCCACGCTCCTCAGCCTCCCAAAGTGTTGGGATTACAGGTGTGAGCCACTGCACCTGGCCCATTTCAATTACTTTTGCCCCAACCTAATAGATGGTTTAGGTTTCTGTGAACCTCTGATGACAAAAGTTTTTCCATTGGTCAATACATAACCTTGTTAGTGAGATGCTCTATTTAATATTTTCTTCAAAATAATGAATGATATTCAGTATTTCTTTAAAATACTAGCCAAGAGGCATTTAATACCTTTCCGCCCTTGGGTAACACGGCTGTAAATTTCTTTGGCTTCTAGCCTTACAACAATGCTAGTGATGACATTAAATTCTCTCGTCATCTGATGAGTCCACAAATTCAGCTATTTTTCACCTCTTCCATGGCTCCACCATGGACTCTGTTACCTTAGCACTTTCCAGAGTGGCCCCACATATGGACTGGCCAAAGGCACATGCCCCTGTATCCCCAGGTGACCCTGTATAAGTCCCCAAGAAAACATAGCAAAGACAGGATAAAAAGTTGGATCATTGTGATATCAAACTGGTTGCCCTGTGTCCTTCCTCTTCCTTTTTCTGGGTGTGCTGTATTCTTGATTCATTAACACTGGATTCCCATGAGCGCTGTAGCTCACGCCTGCAAGCAGCTTATCTAACACGTGTATTTTCTCTGGAAGGCACATTCCAGCCTTCTTGTGCTTAGGGAGCCTGAATAGGGACATCAGCACCATTTTTGGGGCCATTTACAGCAAAATCACCATCAGAAAGCACAAAAATATGAAAAAAAAAAAACAAAAAAAACGAGCACTAAAGAGATTGCAAAGAGGACACGTGCGCACGGTCTGAGAGTCGACAGTGAAGGCAGAGCTCTGCACGGGGACGGGGAACACATGCATCCAGCGAAGCGACATCTTCACCCCTCCGCCCGTGTCCTGAGAATGACTGTGAAACCCCTGCATTGCTTTCAGGGTCACAACTCTATGTCCGTGAGTAGGTGAATTCGCAAGTACAGAATCTGCAATTGATGAGGACTGACTGTCGGCCCGCCGCACACAGCTGAAGGCACATCCCCGAGTCTCCACGTGACATTCTCCAGGAAGCCAAACCAAAGGCAAAATTCAGACAAAACATGGTGACATCCGACTGCCTGCCCCGCGCATTTCCGCACTCCCCACTCGTGACTCCATACGGTAAAATGGTCACGGCTGTTTTTTCAAGGCTACGTTGTGGAAAGCAGCCGCCGCCTGTGTGTTGCTTAGCAACCAGTGTCCTCGCTCTCCCTGCGGAAAGCCCTTCACGTGGGCCTCTGTGGACTGTAGGGAGGTCCTCGAGGGAGTGACAAATGGTGCGCAGAGAGCTGCGGCTTTACAGCCTCGTGATGAACCTGGAATGAAGACAACTAAGGCGGGAGGCGGGGGGCTGAAGCGGCAGGTACCAAAGGCTGCGAACTGTCGGTTGAACTCGGAATCGTGGGAGGGAACAGTCAGCACAAAGTGAGCCCATCCTTTGCATCAGGACTGAAGTGAGAGCAAGAGGAGAGGCCAAGAAGAGTGCAGGGCCGCCGGCCACCTGCCCCCGGAGCCGGCGGGAGGGATGGAGGGACGTGGTACCTGGAGGGGTCGGCTGGGGGGCCCTGGCTGTGGAGGACAGGTTGGCCAGGCACAGGAGGGGACTGGGGAACGGGGCACGCTGCTCTTTCAGGCAGCCGTGTTCACGCACACATTCCACTGCCCACACACCTGACGGCATGCCTTTGAAGATATTTGAGGCCAGGTGCAGCGGCTCCCGCTTTTCGGGGCCAAGGCAGGCAGATCACCTGAGGTTGGTGAGACCGGCCTGGCCAATACGCTGAAACCCCATCTCTACTAAAAATACAAAAATTAGCCGGCCTGTGGTGGCAGGCACCTATAATCCCAGCCACTCAGGAGGCTGAGGCAGGAGAATTGCCTGAGCCCTGGAGGTGGAGGCTGCAGGGAGCCGAAATTGTGCCACTGCACTTTAGCCCGGGCAACAGAGGGACACCCTGTGTCAGAAAAAAAAAAAAAAGACTTTTAGAAAAACGTCTTTTTAAAATCAGTCCGTGCTTTCATTGGACATGAACAAAGGGCAAAATGAACAGGATAATGAACATATTTTAATTAGTAATGAGTTGAAGACGTGAAGGAGTGTGTATCACTCCAGCACAGGGGCTGACCACGTGCCAGCCACCACACTGCCACTCTCGTAAATAAAGTTTTATTAAAACAGCCACATCTGTTTGTTTACATAGTGTCTGAGGCTACTTTTGTGCTATAATAATTATGAGTTCAGTGATTCTAACAGAGTCTACGTGGCCCACGTCACCAAACATACTTGCTGCGTGGTCCTTTGTGTAAGAAGTCTGTCGACCCCTGCTCTACAGTAATGATGAAACACAGTGTCATCCCAGACACAGAACCACCAAGCAGAAAATGAAGGTGTATCTTGATTTCCTGACTACACAGCCATCCATTGCTTTGGGCAGCAGAAGTGGAAACAGGCACATGAACCGTGTGCATGCAGCCAGCCACACACACCGGCACGCTCGTTTACAGAAAAGGGAGAACTTTCTTTTGTTTGTGTTTGTTTTTGTTTTGAGACGGGTCTTGCTCTGTCGCCCAGGCTGGAGTGCAGCGGCACGATCTTGGCTCATTGCAACCTCCGCCTGCTGGGTTCAAGCAATTCTCCTGTCTCAGCCTCCTGAGTACCTGGGACTACAGGCATGCGCCACCACACCTGGCTACTATGTTGTATTTTTAGTAGAGACAGGGTTTCAGCATGTTAGCCAGGATGGTCTCGATCTCCTGACCTCATGATCTGCCCACCTCAGCGTCCCCCAAGTGCTGGAGCCAC